AAAAAAAAAAAAAAAAAAAAAAAAAAACATTCCAAGAAGACTTAGACTGAGAAGCGAGAGTGGACTCCCCATGAAGGGAGTCAGGTACCATAGCTTAATCCTCAGCATTTCCCCAAGTATATGTAGGAAGCCTTACCTGCCAACTGGTAAATAGAGGGTGTGAAGATCACCTGCATGCCCCTCTAAATCTAAAAGTAAATATAATATTCTGCAGGATTTAAGTACTAACTATAGCCGTGTGTGTGTGTGTGTGTGTGTGTGTGTGTGTGTGTGTGTGTGTGTGTGTGTGAGTATACTGCGGAGGACTGAACTATTTACTGGCTTTATGTATCATAGGCAAATTCTCTACTGAGCTACATCCCAATCTCCAAATATGCAATGTGTCCTTCCACCGGTTATAAAGATTGATCCCAGTGAGCTGGAGAGATGGCTCAGAGATTAAGAGTACTGGCTGTTCTTCCAGAGGTCCTGAGTAAAATTCCCAGCTACACAGTGGTTCACAACCATTTGTAATGAGATCTGGTGCCCTCTTCTGGCATGAAGACATATGTATAGGCAGAACATTGCATATATGTAATAAATAAATAAATCTTTAAAAAATAAGTAAATCTTTAAAAAAAAAATAAAAAGAATAGTTAAAGATTGATCTCAGGCAGCCGGGTCGTGGTGGTGCACGCCTATAATCCTAGCATTCGGGAGGCAGATCTCTGTGAGCTCGAGGCCAACCTGGTAAATCTTAGGCAGATTTTCTACTGAGCAACTCTGTCTCCACTACACTTTTAATTTGGTTGTGAGCTGCCACATGGGTGCTGGGAATTAAACCCTGGAAGACCAGTTAGTGCTCTTAACCGCTGAGCCATCTCTCCAGCCCCCACATTAATCTGGAGTGAGTGCACATTGAGATGGTGACATAGCCTGGCTGCTACCTTACACATGACTGATCACAAACTCTGTCTCTAGCTTTGACTGGAAAATGCACTTAAAAGTTTACGTCTTTTAAATGTCTCCATAATAACCAAAAACAGCAGGGTGGTGGTGGCGCATGCCTTTAATCCCAGCACTTGGGAGACAGGCAGGTGCATCTCTGTGAGTTCGAGGCCAGCCTCATCTACAAAAGCTTGTTCCAGGACAGGCTCCAAAAGCTCCAAAAACAGTTTAAGTCACATTTGACTCCTACATTCCAGAAAGGAGTTACTACCTCCAACAATCAAAATTCAAGAAAAAAGAAAAGAAAGGAAACGTGACTGGTGCACAACTGTAAAATTGTGTGACCCGGGCCTGGAGGTTGAGGGCACTTGTTGCTCTTACAGAAAACCCCAAGTCTGAGTCCAGCCATACCCATTTGTGACTCCTGTTCCAAGGGGTCCAGCTCCCTCTTCTGACCTCTGTGGGCGCAGACATACATGTTGTACATGTGTATACACATGCAGGCAAAACACTCATACACATGAAGTAATAATAGTCTAAAAAAGGTGTTTTAATACCGGACCTGATCTTCACGCACAAGGTGCATTCATTCCCATAAGTGTTCAAGTCGCTTCCACATACGGGGCTGAGGATCCTGGGACATGCTGGGTAGTCATACTGATCACATTCCGGCTACAAAAGAAAAAAATCGAGGAGTGACTTGAGACACACCCATTACACAATATCTAAGAGGGGGGCTGGAGAGATGGCTCAGTGGTTAAGAGCATTGCCTGCTCTTCCAAAGGTCCTGAGTTCAATTCCCAGCAACCACATGGTGGCTCACAACCATCTGTAATGAGGTCTGGTGCTCTCTTCTGACCTGCAGACATACACACAGACAGACTATTGTATACATAATAAATAAATAAATATTTAAAAAAATATCAAAGAGGAGACAACATCCCAATTTTCCCTAAAATTCATAAAAAATATCCTAAATAAATACTTAGGTTTGCCCCTGACCTCCTTGTAATGTACTCCTAGGAGTGCGGCCTTGTTGGAGTAGGTGTGGTCTTGTTGAAGTAAGAGCATCACTGTGGAGGTGGCCTTTGAGGTCTCCTTTTTGCTCAAGCCATGCCCAGTAACACCGACCACTTTCTATGGTCTGCAAGATATAGGGTTCTCCAGCACCATGCCACGCTGCCATGATCCCCCATGAGGATAATGGACTGAACCTCTGAACTCTAAGTAAGCCACCCTACCCCAGTGAAGTGTTTTCCTTTCTAAGAGTTGCCATGGTCATGGTGTCTCTTAGCAGAGAATAGCTATAAACATTCTCCATCAGATAGCCCAAGGCAGCACTCCTCCCCCTTATCAGACTGTTGCCTCCAAAGCCAGTCCAGGAAGACAAATAATCCTTCGAACAGCCCCAAGTGGCCAGTTCTCAAGTAATAGCTGTCAGCTTCCCTAACTTGGGGTCCTCAGTTCCAGATGAGGACCAACCAAGTGTAATCGTGTCTGCACCCTACCTACAGCATCCCTTGCTGTGCCAGGCCACACCCAAAGACTGTCCCCACGCTGACACCTTCCCATGCCTCTGCCAGTCAGTGAGTCTCTGCCCAAATGACAATGACGGGGCAGACCCCTTGATACAGCAGTTCTTAGTAAACTGTCTCGTTTGAGTTTCGTTTCTGTCCGCAGAATTAAATAAAGCAAAACAGGTGAAGTATCTGACATAGCGAGTAACTATCATACCTCAGAAAATAAATTATTACAGGAAATATTAAAGCAAGCAACTCCTTGGGGCCTTGAACGACTGAGTTAATCTCAATTGAAATGTCCACTTTTAGCTGACACGGTGGCTTATACCTATAATCCTAGTACTCAGGAAACTGAGGCAGGAGGATATTGAGAAAAGAAAAGTATATATTCATTTATCTGTATCGAGGCTATCGTACGGGGAGCCTCTGTACGGGGAGAAACAGGGCAGGTAGTTCATACTTACTGTCCTGTATTCTGAAGGCTCAACCATGTGAGAGTCGGAAAAGTCATAAGAGTTGGAGGAGACTGTAAGGAGAAAACACGGACATTGTACACGTGACAGTGGTAAATTGTTCATAAAATTTACCCTTGCACACTAAAATCCCAGTGTGTAAGGGATGAGGGATGGTACCCTAAGCCAGCCTCTAGCCCCATGTGAGCATTCTCAGCCAAGTGTGCCAGCACACACAGGAAGCTTGCTCACGCTAGTGGGGTGCGAACAGTTTGTGGGCTGGGGAGATGACTCGATGGCTGAAGTGCTTGCTGTCAACTGAGTTCTGACCCTCAAGCATCCAGGGCTGGCCATGATGGCTTTGGTTTGCACCCTCCAGCATTGGGAGGGGGCTGAGACAGGTGGATACCAAGTATTACTGGCTGGTCATTCTAGCAGAAATGGCAAGCACCGGGTTCATCAAGAGACCCTGTTTCAAGAGTGAGGTGGAGAGCAATACCAGACCACCAGCGTTGACCCCTAGGCTATATATGCCTACAAAATACACGCGCATGCACATACACTCAACACAGAAAGCAAAACTAAAAGATTTGAGCTTTATGGTTTGGTTTGTTTTTTGTTTGTTTGTTTTTGTTTTGTTGTTTTTTGTTGTTGTTGTTGTTTTGAGACAGGGCTTCTCTGCATAACAGCTCTGACTGTCCCAGAACTTGCTTTGTAGACCAGGCTGGTCTCTGAACTCAGAGATCTACTTGCCTCTGCCTCCCAAGTGCTGGAATTAAAGGCATGGGTCACCACCTCCCCCTCTTCCCACTCTTCTAAGAAACGCACAGAACATTTGGTTCTGTTTCTATCAAGTTTCTTGAAAACTGACTTTGAAGTTCCAAGCATCAGGGAAGTGACTAACAGTACGAGATAACTTTCCTCTGTGTGGTCAAGATTTTTTTTTTTTTCAGATAAACACAAAACTGGATTTAACTTTTGAGACAGGGACTCCCAAAGCCCAGGCTGATCTTCAACTGCCCACGTTGCAGGGGCTGGCCTTGAAAGCGTGATTCTCTTGGCCTCTGCTTCCTAAGTGTTGGGATTACAACATGAGCCAGTATGCCAAGCTCAATAAACACAAAACTTAGGTATGAGTATTTCAACACTGCTTTCCCATAGGCATCAAGTCCGTCCAGAGGAAGGTTTCCTGGGCATTCCCACATCCAGCACACCTCAGGTCAGACTCAACTGGGCTGTGGATACAAATACAACTGTCTATCTGGAGTCCAGAAAATCTGTTTAAGAGAGAAAGAGCAGCCGGGCGGTGGTGGCGCACGCCTTTAATCCCAGCACTCGTGAGGCAGAGGCAGGTGGATCTCTCTGAGTTCGAGGCCAACTTGGTCTACAAGAGCTAGTGCCAGGACAGGCTCCAAAGCTACAGAGAAACCTTGTCTCAAAAAACTAAAGAGAGAGAGAGAGAGAGAGAGAGAGAGAGAGACAGAGAGAGACAGAGAGAGAGACAGAGAGAGAGAGAGAGAGAGAGAGA